AAAAAACAACAACAAGCGGACATAAACGGTGTACTGTTGAGAATACAATAGGATAGAAAGAAAAAAAAAATAAAAATATGAACTGTGAAAGCTTGTAAATCTTTACAGATATCTCCTGTGGTTTAAATTAGTTTTTCACCAACCACAGTTTACACACTGAAAAGAAATTAGGCTTGATGCCTTTGACCTGCATACAACACACAACATGCACTTCAAAAGTCTTAGGTCAGTAAGATTTCTTTCTTTCTTTCTTTCTTTCTTTCATCATAGTTTTCACAAAGACATTCGGCAGCACACCTGTTTTCAGCATTGATAATAATCAGAAATGTTTCTTGAGCAGAAAATCAGCATATTAGAATGATTTCTGAAGGATCATGTGACACTGAAGACTGGAGTAATGAAGCTGAAAATTCAGCTTTGAACATAGCAATAAATTATATTTTACCATAGATTTTTTTTATTTGTTTATTTATTCATTTATTGTTTGTTTGTTTGTTTGTTTGTGTCTCTGTGTGTGTTTTGATCAAATAAATTAAGCTTTGGTGAGCAGTAGAGACTTTTTTCAAAAACATTAAACCATTAAGACACAAATAAACAAACAAAAAAAATAAATACTACAAAAAATAATTAAATAACTATAAAGTTTGTTGATGTAGTACAGTTAGATATTTTTTTTCAGAGGGTAATACTTAAATAAAATAAAATTATTCAACATGTTTTACGAATAAAATTTATAAAATAAGGCACATTATATTCTTCGCAAGCAAATGACATTACTGTTTTATCACTGATATTTCAGAAGTTCTAAACTACAGTTTGACAAAACTGTTCTGTTTTGATACACTGTTATATATATATATATATATATATATGTGTGTGTGTGTGTGTGTGTTGGAATTTACAACATATTAATATAATATAAGGAATAGGAATATCCTATTCCTTCATGCTGTTCAGCACCATGGACAGCGGCAACCTAACACACACACGCATGCGCGCACGGCTCATTCAGATTCAACATCTGCACAGCACAAGGCCTGAATGCAAAGATGAGATACTGAGAACCAAAGATACGTATGTAAATGCTTATTTGAATTAAAAACACTGTGCTGAAGTAATGACAATTTAATTAAATTCTTATTGAGAATATTAGAGAATTGAGAATTAGGATGACAAAAGTAAAACATCCCAGGCCATTATGACGATGGGAGTTTAGGGAGAAGTGTGCTTCATTGTCATGGAAATAATGCAATAAATCTTACTGATCCTAAAATTAATACAAAATACATGAGATTCGCCCATACTTTGTTAGGGAGGGAATGTTTGGCTCATATATTGTATGTGCTGAAAAAAGCATTGCACATGCCTCATATTCATATTACACCCTTATCTTTTGAACAGCAACACCCTCCAGCTGCAGAGTATAAATAAATGTGTAAGCAATAAATAAGCATGCTGTTCTGGAGCCTGTGCTGCACCAGTCCAAAGGAAGAAAGGAAGGACAAATTGTTCATTTATTTGTGAAAATCAAGATAACAAGCATGGCAGACCTATGGCTAAGATGGAGAGGGGAGAGGCTGGACTCATTACACGCACTAAACCTATTTAAAGCGCCTCTGTCTAGACTGACGCTTGCTGCCGTGTTGTTTGTCAATTTCAATTTGGAGAAATCAGATGACTCCTTGGCACAGAGGTCAAGGCAATTTCGACGACATTGAGTCTCATATATCCACTGGGGGGATGTGCGAAAAAGCCCTATTAGCTATTAAGAGTGTATAGTTCTCTTTACATATGTGCTGAAACATCGACACTCGTTCGCTCTCCCTGTCTGCCACATGTCACCGTCTTGCTGAGTCATCAGCAAGTTCGGCCAGCAAAGACACTGCATGCAGTCAATGAAATATCAGTCCTCAGTCTCTTGGGTATCAAGATGCATAAAGATATCAGCGTCCACGACTGTTAAAATATGGTGATGTGCAATGCAATCTCAGTATATTAGGACAGTTAGAAACTATTTAATGGAATTCTCTTTTACAGCACTCTTTATGTTAAACACATCTGAACAGAGGCAGTTACAAAGCACGCTCACACACACACACACACACGTACACAGCTGGAGAACAGAGGGGGTCTCTTCAGGAGGTGGTTTCATAGGGATGTGTTTTTTGCTCAGTCGCTGTGTGAAGTGACATGCAGGGGCACCAGGTGTCACATTCAGCTCAGCTCACTGCTGTTTCATGTGACAAAGTCAAGTTTATCTGCATGAGTTTAGCTGATATGACACTTTGGAATCTATTATGTGATGCAATTCAAATTATATAGTCATTTTAAACAAATACACACTGAAACAAAATCCTTTGAACAAACTTCTAAAAATCTATATCTTATAGGAAAATGTATTCGTCTTTATTTTTCTTTGTCTGAAATTATATTTATGGTTTGGTTCAAAACCATAAATTTCAATTTAATAATAATAATAATGATAATAATTTTGTCATGACTACTCTCGGAGGGATTGGCATGGTAATGTACATGACAATGTTAATGTATTTGGTCTTGGTGGAATAGATCTGCTACGCTGCTGCTGCTGCGGCAGAGCAAGTACAGAGACTTGCTACTGCCAATACATCCACAACATGCTGCTCTGAGCATGCAAGAAATATTGCTGCTGCAAATATAACATACATGAAATAACCCCCATATAGCATACATGAATCACCTCGTAGCAGATCTATACAGGTGGAGCTGGGGAAGGAGGAGAGTTTCTGAAGCAAGCTGCAACTGCTACAGCAAGCACTAGTCATATATTTGAATGTTGAGCAGCGAGCTCATTGGCTACTGATACAGGAGAGAACCAATCAGCTGTGTCATGTGATAATGATGTCATTAGGTCAGAGTGAGTTAGACCTATCGAACTGCGCCATCTAGAGTTTCATGCCAGAACTCTGTATTAATAATAATAATAATAATACAATTCCCAAAGACCGAAACATTCAAAGTAAAAAGGTTATTTGTTATAAAGACCATATAATTCCAAAGTGTTACTTAATGTAGGTCAATATGTTACATTTTGAGCCTTTTACAACTTAATTTCACCATAAACAAAAGCTGAATTAGCTATAATTTGAAATTAGAATTTTTACTTATAATAAAACTAAAAACATTTTGTTAGTCGATATTTAATTTTGTTTACTTTAAGTAAATACATCTTCAAAATACCATTTTTATTGTGCTGTCATTAAAAAATGCATCACATTTTTTGTTATGAGCTAAAAAAGAAAAAATAATTAAAAACAAAATAATTTCGACAGACGGTACAGCTAGCCATGTGTTCTGCTAGCCAAAATACTATTTGAACAAAATTGTTTAATTTATAGGGAGTGTTATTTTCTTTTAGAAAAACTGAACAAAACCTGATTAGACCATAATAAAAATGAAAAATAAAAAAAATGAAGAAAAAAATACACTGTTGTTTCACTTTTTCAGTGCAGTGCATTACAGTTATTTACAATCAGGGGTGAATTCAGGTAAAGGTGGGATAGTTTTGCCACTGAGATTATTAGGAAAAATGTCCCAATTAACCCTAATTCACCCTTATATGTTATCCACTTTCAAAAACCCAGAAGTCTATTTGTTCATCACGGTAATAACTCAGAATGCATACAGTACAAGCCACTGTCTTTAAGTGCATCTGTAAGAGTGCATATCTTCATGACAATTCCCTGAGCTGCCCTGTAATATTTACCAGTGACCAGTAAAGGGTCAGAAATGAACGGGGCTTGTGGCAAAAATGCTACCAAAATTAACAAAAAAATTAACTAAATTAACCCCATAATTTTTTTTTTTTTTTTTTGCAGCATTGAACCTTATAACCAATCACACGCGTTTCCGTTGTCCTTAGGAATGCAATGGCCAATCAGAGAAGCTTAGATTAGTCAGTGCTGAAAATGCTCTGAAATGAAATCTCCGGAGTTGTTGTTTAGTGTGCACACTCACTGATTGAATTATTTGCACTCCTGAGAAAATAACAATATTGATTTCGTAGCTTCAGTGATTATAACGGGAGTTTTTGCATAACTTGCGCTAGACTAGACTAATGTCATGCACCACCATGTTTGTAAGTGAAGCCAGAGCCAGAATAGGCTATATGACGAGTCGTTTCCTCAAAACGCAGACACAAAACACACACAAAAATATGTATTTACATTTAAAATTGACATTAATAATCATTATAACAGTATTAATTAAAATTAAAGAGCAATAATCAACAATAATTATTTTAATTTTTTTTCGTAATATTGCACCCACATAGCTCCTGTTTTTAAACGTAGAATTGATACAATTGGCAACAGTTTCAAGTATTTTGATTGATTGAAGTAACTGGTTAAATTCAAGTATCTGACATTAAAGACAACACAGATGGTGATGAAAATTGCCCCCACAAATGTACAAAAATTTAAAAAATGCCTATGGAAATCAATTCCAGGGGGCAAAAATTGCCACTTAATGGAAAAGTTAATTTCTGACACTGGACCAGTATAATAATATTAGAATATGCACTGAAAAAAATGGTAACAGTTTATTGATTATTATCATTATAAATATTAATTTATACATTGATAATGTAAAAAAAACAAAACAAAAAAAAAACTATAATTCTAGTTATAATTACGGATACTATAGCAACAAATAACGATTTTAAATGCTTCTTATGCAATAATAATTCTAATAATACTAATAATTAAAAAATAAGTTTTTTCATAGTCTGTATTTAATTAGTGGTGGTATTGTTTTGGTTTATTGTGTATATGTTAATTGATAGGCTCTCATAGACTGTTTCATTGTGTACTGTATGATGCTATTGTCTCCGTGATTATGTATCTGTGAATGTGTAGGACGCGGCTCTCAGTGCTGCCGCCTACCGTTCGCGCTCAGCACCGCCGCCGCTGCTATAAACCACCAGCGCTTTTCATGAGACGCTCAATCCACGCGCAGCGGCACCGCGAGCGGAATGACATCGAGAGACGCGCGTCTCCTCCTCCTGCTGCTGCTGGGGCTCCGTGCGAGCGGGACCCGGGCCGGGGGAAAGCTGGACGAGGACCGGGACAGCAGAGGCGACGCGGAGAGCCCGTGTGAGGTGAAGACCGTGACCGTGTCCACTCTGCCCGTGCTCCGGGAGAATGAGTTCAGCTTCACCGGCGCGGGATCCGGGAGTCTCGCCGGAGGGGAGTCCAGACTCCTGCTGTTCGTCAGGACTGACCTGCCGGGTCGCATCTCGGTTTTGGATGATCTGGACAACACGGCGCTGCCCTACTTCACCTTAGGTGAGATTTGGCCGTCCGTCAGTCACATCTAGAGCTGAGCTGGGAGATGACACATGATCTCTGCGCGTTTGCCTGATTCTTATGAATCTGAGAATGAGAGAGACGGGTTAATTGTAAGAGCATGCTTTCTTCCAGAGCAAACGAGCAGAATGACCATCGCAGGGCTTTTGATTGTGTTCAAAAGCGATAAAGGTGCTTCAGTGGTTCTTCACCCTCATGATCTGAGAGATCTCTCAAAACTGTATTGAAGTATCAGGTTGACGTTTCCTACAGTCGCATTGAAGCTGAAACAGAAAACATGGTATTACTTCTGTTTGACATCTCAGAGACATCAGGTATAAACCATGCATGCTGTAGATGGAAGTGAATCTTTTCAACATAATATTTTCTGACTGAAAGCACATCTCTAATTGTGTGTTTTGCTGGAGTAAGATGTACCCTGCGTTAGATATTATGTGATATTTCAGACTCACCTTGTAATACAACAGCTTCAGTAGCGTCTTAGTAAGGTTAGAGGAACATATTACAAAAATGTAGTACTATTCAAAATTATTGTTAGCATTATTATTTGCGCATACAGTTTATTGTACAGTACCTCATTAGGGTCTCTGGGATGAAAACAGCAAAGTTAGTCAAGTTCTTCAGGCCTGTAGAAAGTTCTTCATAGGTTCTTCAAATTTGTTTTTTGGGTTCTTTAAGCAGCAGATGCATGGCTTTCTGAAGAACAAGGCGATAAAAAAGTATTTTTTTTAGCTTTTTTGGCTAAAAATTACAACTTTTTTGTTGTTGTTGTGCATCGTAGAGAAACAGCGATGTTTCAGCAAATGTAATTTGCACGTTTGTGGTGATCAGGATGACAATTATCTCTCAGGTATGGTATATTTGAAGGAATGTTTTGTAATGCTTTCAGCTTTCTATTAATGCATTCAATATTTAACGATAGTCTGGTGTGCTTAACATGGATGTACCATAACATATCAAGCAAGAAATCATTAAACATGCATCTTGTAACAGTACAGTCAGAGCACAGGACTGAATGAAAAACAGTGGCAACTGCTCTATATTGACCGCTGCGTTGCCCTTTCACCCATATATAGAATTTCAGTTACGTTCAAACATGATATTGATGTTGACTGCTACTGGAAGAGGAAAACTGGGAACTATCACTATACATATAGATCATCCAGCTTGTTGTGCAGACTTTATTTGTATGCAACACACGTTACTATTAAATATACCCTGAAGCAATATATGTATCTGCTGTGTGTAAACATCTAAATCTATGCATCACGTCAGCAGAGCATTTGAGTCCCTTCAATTAATGGATGTAGACACAAGGCCCATGTTTAGTCCAGCAGATTTGGGTCTTCAGTGCAGAAATCTTCTTGGAACACTAGGATTTGAGAGCTATCAGCTGTTCTTTGAGTGGTGAAATGCAACATCAGAAAACTATTGGTGTTATACAGGCTAGGATAATCCGCAGGCGGCTTCAAAGCAAAGGAAGCTCAAGTGAATGAGTGTCAATTAAGGGTGTGCCATATTGACAAAAAATTATTTCTCAATATGTGATTTTGTTGATACTTATAGTATATATGCGATAATTAGATTATATTTTGTATGTTTTTGCACTGGTACATTGGCATAGGCCTGTCATGGACAACTGACCCCTGAAGTTTTTTCATATTCTTTGTATTCTGTGCAGTGGTTCATTCACAACAGTGACAGATATTAAAGTGCCCAACTACAGGTTTACATGCATGCAAGGTCAAAAAACACATTAATTTTCTTATAAAATTCATTTAAATGTACCTTATTTCTCAGCGACTCTCAGACGATTTATTCGAAGATTCCTCTTTCCAAACCCCTACTTTGCGTGAGGCTACTGTGCTCGGATTGGTCCGATGACCCAGTCTGTTGTGATTGGTCTACTGCATACAGCGCATGTCGGAAACAGAACGCCCATCACAGCTTGGTAGTAAAGACCCATGACTCCAAGTAATAAGAACGACAGGCATTCTATGTTAATCGACACATTTCTAGACAATAGCTGGTAAGCAGAACTATAACATGAGTGTATGCACAACAACACAACACACAAAACTACATATTTTGCATGTTTGACAGAACATTACAGCAACAATTATTAATCATACTTACGAGTTGTGATTCGGAGGAGCAAGCTGGTCCAAACAAACTGGGCACTGATCCATCTTTGAAAGACAACCGGTTTACGAATCCCGCATTGAACTCGCGGAGATTGGAGAAGCAGTCCACGCAGAACATAGGCGGGTGGGCTTTATGCAAATGTGGTAACTTGTGACATGTGAACGTCACGAAAATGAGATTCCAATTTTAAACGACTCATTTAAGCGATTTCAGCTTTACAACTTTGCAGACTTTCACATACAGCTACGTTACACACTGCATGGAATGTAATTTTCAAAAATCCATAATAGGAGTGCTTGTATTTCATTTTTCTTTAAGGCAATATTTTTCCACTTAAATTGATTTAGGGCCATTTTTACCTTTATAAGAGCAATTTTTTATCTTATAGGATGTATGTTTCATCTTTTATGCCAAATTCTTACATTTAATCAATAAATTCAGTTAGAATAAAAAGACACTGTTACCAATCAAATTAAATCAGTATCAACAAAATACACTTTTGCACTGCCAAAGTGTCATAGAAGCTGCTAAATGTTTAGTGTTTAGACATATTTACACTGCAATTACAGTTGTATAAATAATTTTATAAGATACATGTTTAAAAAAATATATTTTGAATATTGAAATATATTTTTTTTATAAAAAAAAGAAGAAGATACTTCATAAATTAAACTAAAACTGCCAGTAGTGGTAAGTCACTGTCTTAATGATTGAGTCATTGAATAATTCATTCAACCAATTTATTCAAATGGATGATTCATTCAGGGACAAATGATTTTATGATTGAATCCAGAGCCGATCCTCCCTATACGCAAAATACTCAAGCTGCGTAGGGCCCCCTAAACACCAGGGGGCACCCTTGCTCTCAAATATGATTTAACTGTCGCCCTTTCTACGTAAAAATCAGTCAAATCATGTAATGTGAATGTCGTACAGTCTAGCTCGAGACAAAAAAAACGAGTTGAAAGCATACCGAGCCGCGGAAGAGACACTGTTTCTCAAGTGCTTTCCGCAAGCGCGATTCGAGACGAAGTGAAACACGGACAAATCCGTTTCATTCATAAACATAACTACCTTACTTACTATCAATAAGCAGAACGCCATTAGCTTGTTGAGGGAAAACTCTTAGTTAATAGTGAATATGTGTTTCCACACAAATCGAATCTAAAATGTTGCCACAAAAACTCATACGGGCATTTTTGCCCCAATATATTAACGCACACACCTAGTGTAAATCAGTTTGTCGGTAATGACAGATAGCAGAGTTTTTTTTTTCAGTCTGTTTAGTAGATCTGCTGACCTTTTCCTGAAAGTCCCTTTGTCAGCCCTTGGAAAACAGTTTTAGGACTTTGAGAATCAGGTTTGCATTGGTAGCTAATTTTACTCCGTCTTCCTCCAGCCCAGTGACCCGTTCTCAGCTGAATCCATACTGCAGCAGCAGGACTTTCAGCTAGGAGCGATCCAATGGTTTTGGGGCTCTGGTGATGAAATACCAATGAAAGCCTTCTTAAAATAGAGGTTTAGTTTCATATGTCAAGTGCTCTTTGATAGAAGCGAATCTATATCCTTGTAATGAAGAGCTACAGCCGGACCTCATCAGCAGTTCTTGCTGAAAAATAAGCGAACGGTTGGAAATATTGATCATTGGCAACGCAGCAGTGCTCCTTTTGTATTACAAGTTCATGTTTGTCTTTCATCAAGATGTATGTGCAACAGACAATATTGATACCGAACAGGATGTGTCAGCAAAACACAACTTAGTCTTGAAGACCTATGGCTAAGGCAAGCATTACTATTAATATAGCTCATATGACAATAAAATATATATATATATTTTTTTTCTGGACAAAATATATTTTAAATATATTTTATATGTTGTAAACAATGAAGTTAAAATGAAATGTATTCTTGAAATTGAAAATATATTTAGCTTCATATACCAAATATACAAAAATGTACTTCAAAATGTATTTTTATTTTATTTTTTTTTCCAATCTTACAGCAGCCTACATATTTAGTCTAAAAGCAAATGTGGATGGAATAGCCTACTAGAGATAACATCTAGCTTTATAATTCATTATTATTATTATATTTTTTTATATTTTTTCTCAAATGTGTTATTATTCACATGTGTTGTAGACAACAAATAGAGTTTTTTTTCTTCAAATGTGAAATGTGAACATATTTTATTGGATTGAAAATAAATGGAGGGCAAAATACATATTTTTTTTTTTTTTACGTACATATTTTGACATAAATATATTGTGAAACATATTTTTGCCAATTTTAGCCATTGTTTGTATATTTTGAAATATTTTTGAAAATATATTGATTAAAAATATTTATTTTCTGCCATATGGGATATGTAGGTTTACCGTTTGATCAGACCCTAAATCCCTAGCAACCACCTTAGCAACCGCATAGCAACACTTTAACACTTTGTGAATTTGTTACCTTATGGTAATGGTGCAAATCACATTTCATGTATGTTTTAGCATTGCTCCAGTTTATTTAGAGAGAAAAAATCAACAAACTATTGAAACGGCGGGTGGTAGCAGAAACACTTTTGTGTTTTTGTCTCAGCATGCTTTCTCAAGCTGCTTCCAATGAAAGATGAAGAGCGAGGAGAGCGTTTCGCTGACCGTCGCTCAAGCGCTAACCTCCAGTCTCAGACATGATTTATTACCTGAAGTGCTCGGGAATGTTCAGAAAGACAGAGAGAAGATTAAAAACCGACATGATGAAAGTTTTTATCCGTACTGCTTTTTTGTCTGCTTTATCTGGTCTTTTCGATCTAAGCGAGGATTTTCTCAGAGCGGACACGGGAATAAAGT